TAACATTGTTTCTCGATACATATATACTATATTATCCATACTTAAGTTAAATAGGTAAACTCCAATTACTTTAGCCATAATTTATAATTTATGTGAGCTAAGATAATAAAGTATAAGATATGAAAAGTTTACAAGGTTAAATGAGTTACGATTAATCCATGAATCAACTACTTTTAAAAAATTATTATAATTTATTAAAAATATTTATTTTATATAATATATTTTTATCGTAAAAGTATAAATAAATAAAATTATTTAAATATAAATAAAGCACAATTAAATTTATATAATATTAAAATTTAAAATAAATTATTATTAAATATTATTAAATAAAATATAATAATTTATTATTAAATTACATATTTATCTAATTTTACTTTGTATTATTGATATTTATTAAATTGTAATAAATTTTTTTATTCATATAATTTTATAAATAATTTTTAATATATTATTTTATAATTTATTTAAATATTAGTCTTAAAATCTTTCATACTTTAATGTAGAAAAATAAATTATGAACTTAAAAAAAATTTATAAATTTAAATTATGACTCATTTTGATTTGATAGAATTTATTTTTAAAGTAAAAAAATGATTTTATAGAATTGATGATTTTTTATTTTTTAAAATATATTTTTATATTTAAAATATATTTTTAATTAATTTTAAATAAAATAATTTAATAAAAATAATAAACAAACACATGTATTTTGATTATAAAAAATATAATATTTATTAATTATTTTATAATTTTATTTATTTATTTATTTTTATAAAATTATTTTAAAAAACTGTATGTTTAATAAATATTTTTAAAATTACAATGAAAATAAAAAAATAACAATAAAATATAATGTTAATTATATTTATTAACTTGCCTGATCTAAAAATGCTTAATATTATTTATTTAAATAAAATTTAATGTGTTAAAAAAATCATAAATATATAATATTACAAAATTCATAATGTAGAATGAAAAGAAACATATAAATTTAACAAATATTAATAAATTTTTTAAAATTTAAACTTTAGTTAATTTGAATTTAAAATATAATTTTATTAAATTTTAAAATAATTTTAAAAAATAAACAAACACATGCATTTTTTATTAAAAAAAGTATAACATCTATTGATTAGTCTCTAAAAAGAGTAAATTAACTGACTTCTAATCTTAATTTTAATTTATTTTTTTATTTTATATAATTAAACTTAAAGACAAAATAAACTCACTGTATATAAAATTTAAAAAATGAAATCTATGGAGTGAAGTGTAAGAGATCATGTGAACTGTACGGCCACGTTGACAGTTCTACGTACCTGTTTTCCGTGTACATTTTAACAGTACCTCGTCTATCTTTTCCTAGTCAATAAAAGTGAAACAGAATAGCAATGTTTATTAATTGACATAATTAACCTCGTCAAAATGAATTTTTCCTTTGCTGAACAAACGCAGAAAAGTCTTTTGATAAAATAATTTAATTTAATGTGGAATAAACAGGGTCGCCGGCCAATAAAACACCGCATGCCACAATAGAAGTCTAGATTTAGGGGATTGGGCAGATCGATCATGTTTAATGTTTAGCCAAAATAACATTTCCAATTGCCTTGTTAGGCAAATTTTGGCGAATGAGCACGGGTGCACCTTTGCTCCGTAGAGGGCCATCACTTCCAAATTTTTTAAATGTTTTTATTATATATCAATTTCTTAAATTTAAAATATTTATATAATATATTTTTATATTTTATTTAAAATTTTAATTTAATGGAAAAATTACTAGTATGATGATAAAAATCATAATACAAAATATTTATGCGGTTAACCTAATAAAAATTCTCTAAATCTGTCCCTGCAGATAAGTTAGTTAAAAATTAAAAGTTAAATAATTGAAATAAAAATTTTGCTTCAATTAATTATTGAATTATTTAATAAAAAAGGTTTTTTTTCCACCTTTTTATTTCTTAATTAGTGCCATGCCAACAAGGCTTACTTCTATCTTATTCAGTGCCACTATGATTCTAACAATGCGTGATTCACATGGGCTTTCCATGCGTTTTACATATAGTTGAAAGCTACACGCAGAGTTGGCATACAAGAACTTGTACATTCTCAACTCGAGGGATGATTTAGAACCTTGAAATTAACGGAAAAGAAATAATCAATGCATGACTTGACTCTGTATGAGAGCCTCCATGACAGATAAACTCAGATTCTGAATTGTGAGAACCATCAATCTTGTCGTTATAATTTCCATGTCTATTCACTCTTTTTCCTGCCTGCACCAAGACTTTATAATTTCGACCTTCATTAATTCTGTTTTTTCAATGTCAGTTACTAGTTGCATGAAATGAGCAATGATCCATTTGGCTCAACGGCCTTTTATTGTGTCTACATTCATCTAATTTTTTTTATTAAAAGTTTCATAATATTATAAAATTTATATATTAATATCATGAATATTGTAGTTTTTTTAATAAAAAATATTATTTATGTAATTATTATTACGTATCATAAAATATACATTAAAAAATCATAGATTAATTCATTACGTAATAACAACAAATTTTTTAAATTACTATTTTTAATTCATTAATCAATGACTTTGAATTACACTTGTTTGTATAATAAAATTCAACATAATTTATAATTTTGAATTTTGTACAGAATAAATTTCAATCCTTCAACTACTTAACTAATGAAAGGAGAGTAAAAAGTATTTTTTTTAAAATTATAATAAAATAATTAATACAGATTAATTAAGTAGTATATTTATTGAAATTTATTCTGTGCAATGTTATACAAGTTAAAAAACTTCTTATAATTTTAAATAATAACTTGTCATCAATAATAATAAAATATAATTTTTTAATTTACATTAGTCAATTTTAGCTATTAAATTAAGCTTAAATATCAAGTGAAATAATTACAAATATTTATTATATATTTTTATTATAAATTTATTTTTTAACACATAAGAATTTATATCATAATAAATTTTTATAAAAAATTATATAATTTAATATATTAAAATTATTAAATACTATAATTTTAAATATAAAATAATATTTTATTATTTTTTGTGAGTCTTATTAATGATACTAATTAAAAAATTGAAAGTATTTTTTTTCATAAAAAATAAGTTAAACTGCTGTAAAAATTACATAAAAATATACTAACCATGTTTTAAAACAATTCTAATTTTTTTAAATTAATATGCTTAAAATATTAATTAACAATTGTCAGTTTTGGTTATATTAAATGTTACAAAGTTAGAAAATGAATATAGTAAGAAGATATTTAAACTAGAAAATGGTAAAAAAAAGGGAAGGAGAGAGAGAGGTTGGTGGAAAAGACAGAAATATCCCCAAATTTGTGCGCATAATAAAGCAGTGATTAAGTGGATGCCCGTCCTCTTGCACTTGCGTCTTCTGTTTCTCTCTGCCAGCCTCAGCCTCAGCCTCACATCACGCTTTCCTCTCTGCTCTTCTCTCTTTCTCTTCTGCATAATCACAAAGTCTCTCTCGTTCACTTCACTGCTTAACAATGGCTCTCAGACTCAACCCTCTTCCAACCCAAACCTCTTCCTTCTCCCTTCCCCAAATGGCTAATCTCAGATCTCCCAAGTTCCTCATGGCCTCCACCCTTAGCTCTGGTTCCAAGTTAGTCCTCAGATCCCTAATCACACCTCTCAATCTTCATTTTCTTAATTCAAATTATTTTCATTCATCACACATTTGCTTGTGGTTATTATTTACCTCTTTGATCTGCTTTTTTCTGATTTGTATTATTGTTATTGTTGCTGTTTGGTTTTTTTATTTCCGGTTTTCTCTTTTTTTTTCTCTTTCTTGCGATGGTGTTTTTCTATATTTGTATGTGTCCGTGTAATGTCTGAAATGAAAATCTGGGAACAATGAAAATGACGCGCTATTTTTCAGGTTTATTTTGAAATTGACATTTTTTTGGTTTTTGATTAATTGTTCGTCAGTGAAAATGCTAACATGAGAAGAGGTTCAATTAATGTTTGGCCCATTAAACAGGTTTGGTTTGGTAATCGGATGGTTGGGGTGGTTCGATTTCATCAAGACGGATCCTTGGTTTTTATTTATTTTTTATTTTTTTGTGGCTTGCATGCCTTTTCTTTGGGTTGGTGAGGATTGTAAACGGGTGGTTTTTTGGTTGAGAAATCTATTTCATCGTACTAATATTCCAACCACTTTCGTTTCTCTTTGTTCAATTTGTCACGGTTTGTCTGAAGAAGAGCATGAGTTTCAACAAATTGTGTTTCATGATATTAATTCCGCTGTTTACAGTTTCGGATTAAAAAGGAAAAAAGAATTGCATGTTTGTGTCACTCGTATGTTTAATGAGTTTTACCCTCAGTTTTGCGCTCCCTGCCAAAATTCTAAACCAGTGCGCCTGAATTTTGGCCCGGTAAATTTTGGCTTCATTGATTGTTGGGAATTGGGATTACTCTTTCTTCTTCGGTTTCAAGTTGAATAGTATTGGAACTTGTTATGTCTTTATTACCTTCTGTTTGATTTGATATGCAGTCTCTGCTTCTTACTATTTAATTTATTTATATATTAGTTTGATGAATTTTGCCAACTTTTTATCAACTGCGATCCTCTTGTTGGAGGTGAATATAAATATTGGTAACGCTGTAACAGTTCCAACTTAGTGCATCAAAATTGTTTTGTTGGTTGTTTGGGTTTTCGGGCGAAGATTTGTGTAGCCTAGGAATGATGCAGGCTGCTGGGCTTATTTTCTTTTCTCTAAAATTGTCCTTTTATGTTTTTAGTGTGGTGTTTGTGTGAATCCTTGAAGCATGTACACTCCATTTTGCTGAGCCATGTATATACTGGGCATATGCCGGCTCTTTTTTTTTTTTTTTAAATGGGTATGCAACTAGGGTATGGGTTTTCCCCCTTTTATCTTTATTGCCAATTTATGCCTCCTCACTCAGACTAATTTGTCCTTACTGGCTTACCCTAAACCTGTGAGTGGGGTGTCTCCAGTTTTTGGCGTGGACAAGGGATGCATCATGTGATCATGATGCATCAAAAGATTCAAACTGATTTACTGTTGCTAGGGTTATCTGGGGAAGATTTGAATAACCTAAGCATAATATGTAGGATGCCTTTTGGCTGCATGTTCTGTAAAAATGTCATTCTTATGCTTTTTGGTGTGTGTGTTAATATACTGGTCTATATTGTACTTTGGAGTTTTATCGTTATTATTGCTATGGATAATGCCATATACTTGGTATCTCAATTCTTCCAGCATAGGATCATTTGAAAAGTTGCTGTATTATTGCTCTAAAAGTCATTTGAATTTCTTTTGTAGAGAGCTTGAAAAGAAACCTTTCACGCCTCCCAGAGAAGTGCATGTTCAAGTAACCCACTCTATGCCTCCCCAAAAGATTGAGATTTTCAAATCTTTAGAGGATTGGGCTGAGCAAAACATCTTGACTCATCTTAAACCTGTAGAAAAATGCTGGCAACCACAGGATTTTTTACCAGATCCTTCCTCAGATGGATTTGAAGAGCAAGTGAAGGAACTAAGAGAGAGAGCAAAAGAGATTCCAGATGATTACTATGTTGTTCTGGTTGGAGACATGATCACAGAGGAAGCCCTTCCTACATACCAAACAATGCTAAATACCTTAGATGGAGTTCGAGATGAAACGGGTGCCAGCCTGACTTCCTGGGCAGTTTGGACAAGGGCATGGACTGCTGAAGAAAATAGACACGGTGATCTTCTTAACAAGTATCTTTACCTATCTGGACGTGTTGACATGAAACAAATTGAGAAGACAATTCAATACCTGATTGGGTCTGGAATGGTAAGATCAACAGCTCTCTGTCAACTTTCATGACTATAAATTTTATTAACTAATGCATCATGATGCATCAATGTGTAACTGTCAACAAGTTTCATACTCGGATAATTTTAATCTATTGAAGGATCTTTTCTCAAAATGAATGACTACATCACTAGAATAAGATCCCTCTGATCATGTTGCTCCAAAGTCATCATAATTGATTTTTCATAGCTGCTGCACTTACTGTATTTCTAGTTTTCTCCATGTTTGACCGATTGAAATTGATGGATAGGATCCTCGGACTGAGAACAGTCCCTACCTTGGTTTCATCTACACTTCATTTCAAGAGAGGGCAACCTTCATATCCCATGGAAACACAGCCAGACTTGCTAAGGAGCATGGTGATATTAAGTTGGCTCAGATATGTGGTATGATTGCCTCAGATGAGAAACGCCATGAGACTGCATATACAAAGATTGTGGAAAAGCTGTTTGAGGTCGATCCTGATGGAACAGTTATGGCTTTTGCGGACATGATGAGGAAGAAAATTGCTATGCCAGCACACCTCATGTATGATGGCCAAGACGACAACCTGTTTGATAACTATTCTTCTGTTGCCCAGCGCATTGGGGTCTACACTGCCAAGGACTATGCTGATATACTTGAATTTCTGGTAGGGAGGTGGAAGGTGGAGAATCTAACTGGACTCTCAGGTGAGGGAAGAAAGGCTCAGGAATATGTTTGTGGGCTGCCACCAAGAATCAGAAGGTTGGAGGAGCGAGCTCAAGCAAGAGTCAAGGAGGCACAAAGAATTCGATTCAGTTGGATTAATGACAGGGAAGTACAACTCTAAATGCATATCAAGGAGCATCGCGAATCTTCCAGCAATACTATTCGAAGAAATGTTGAATAGTTGAAAAATCAGCATGTCATTTTTTTTCTTTTTTTTTTCTTTCCTTTTTTGGGTCCCATGTTATATGTTACTGTTAGGTGAAACGGTTGTCTTGCATGGTTCGCTGGTTAAGCTCAGGCAATTAGGGGCAGCTGTAGTGTTAGAAATGCTCTTTTTTGTTTCCCCTTTCTGTGGTAGTGATTTCTGTCTTAAGTATAAGCAAACGTTTTCTATGGCAATTTTGAAGATAAAGAAAGTTTAGTTCTTCGGTGGCTTGTTCAGATGCCCACTAAGTCGAATGTAATTTTCATGGCGGAGCGATATCTTTTGTTTGCATTCTGCATTCAGGTATCGGAAATATGCTTCATTAGCAAGGGTAGATGTTAGAATGCGTTACGGGTAATTTTGTTGCCCAAGTGTCATGCTGCCTTTTCTATATTAATATGAGTTATTAGGCATTCCAAATTAAAAGCACGCACACAAAAGGACTTATTATATATATATATATATATATATATATATATATATATATATATATATATATAAATCTTTGCTTCCTTTTTATTAACAATTATGTGTTTTTGTACAAGTAATTAAACTTAATTTTAATTAAATTATAGTGATGAATTTAAGAGCCTTTAGAAGTATAGAAGGCTCTTTTGAACTAGTTCAATCAGCTTTAAGAGTTTAAATATAATGAATACATTGAAATAAGAAGGTATAGTGAATGAAAAAGAGTAACAACATTAACGGAATAGATGAAAGATATATCATATATTCAATAATAAATACATCAAATTTAAAAATTAAATACAACTATAATTTTTTTGTGTCTGAAACCCTGCCTCGTGACAATTAGTCAAGCTGCTCAAAGTTTGCTGGCCGATTACTCGGCCATGTGATACTGCCTACCCTACTCAATACTTGAATTGAGAGCTCTTCAAGCCTCAACTGCTAATGTGACTTTGATTAGATAATAATACTAAATATACCTAAAATATTTTACTCAAGTGTTCTTTTTCTTTTCAGTAAGTTTGCATGTGCAGTTTTTTAGTCTATACTAGCAAATAGCCAAACATATTTTTTTAAGGTGTAGAAGTTACTAAAATAAATCTGAATAAAATCTTTTTCAAATGAACTCCTTTCAGTATATTTAAGAACATTTTTCTAAGTGTGCAATATATACATAATAAGAATTTGTTCCTAAATTATAGTATGTTACCATTTTTAATAAATTATTGAACGTAACTTCTTATCATATATAATATCAAACAAATTAAAAACTCCATTTAAAAAATACAACTGTTTAATAAATGTACCAGACTTTATTAATTGTGCAAGTTAATGCTGCTTGTACTATGAAACAAAGTTTATGATTTGTTGCTCTAAAGATCAACCCTGTACATAATAAACTTCATCCCGTCTTAGGACAATCAACATCAAGAATCCATTATCATGAACGAATTTATTATATTCCTTTATTTAAAAACTGAAAAGAAATTCGTATATGGACATAAAGAAAAATATAAGGTTTTGTTTTAATCTTGTTATTAATTATTTTTTTAAAATTAATATATTTATAATTTATTCTTCTATACATCTTTTATTTATTTTATTAATGACGTGGCACCCATATCCATTCTGGAATGAATTAATGTTCCATTTTTTTATTCTCATTTTAAATGCAATAAAACTTTAAAAATCTGAATAATAATATTTATATATAACATTTTTTTTACACGAAATGAAGCCCAAACGAGTTGTATTAGTCGTGAAATCCATGGAATCCATTGACAAATAAAAGAAAATTTGTTCAGGGTGCCTTTGCCTTTTCATTTCTCACATAAACGTTTAGACGCCATTCTCGATCCCCAAACATTATTATAACAATTTAATACATACATCTTTAAATAGTATTACAGTTAGTAATTTGATTTAGAATAAATATACATAATAAAGAAATTTTAAGATCACAAAACCTAAAAAGTTTAAATAATGTACGTGTAGAGTATGGATTCAGATCTTTAATGATCCAGTCAATTATGTGAAAAAGACAAAAAGTACGTAAAATTCGCTTGTGAAGCAGAAGATGGCGACATGGCTGATGAAGACGGCGACGGTGATTTTCCAGTCGGTGCCGAAGATGTCGCTGGAAGTTGGACAGCAAGTGCCGGAGAGCTCGTCGGAGACGGAGATGCGGATGGAGGTTGACCCGCTGGAGATGGTGATGTTGGTGGAGACGATGGTGGTGGGTTTGGATTTGGCGACGGTGAAGGTGAAGGTTTTGGTGGTGGTGTTCTTGGGAACAGTACAACAACGATCAATTTTTTACCCTTTTTACAGTTTCCATCTTTTTAACTAATGAAGTAGAATGGGCCTGATCGATCAAACTTGAACTCTCTGTCTGCGTCTTCAAGTTCTTTAATTGGATTTGTCTTATTGCAATTGTCACAATCATCTTTTTTCACTTCCAACACACAGTCTGATCCCTTCTTGTGCATGAAAACTACTATGGAATTAAATTCACACATACCCATCAAATAGAAACCATTAAGATACAAAAAAAATTTCATCTTTTGTATAATGGGCACTGTCTAACTATGTGAGGTATCAGATATGCCAAAAAATAAAAAAAACACAACAAAAACAAAAAAACTAAAAAACACTTTGTGGGTATATGTAATCACCTTTGGGTCATTGATTTGGAACCTGTTATTTCCAGCCCATTGATTGTAACTCTGGGAAGGGCTTCCACCACAGTGAATTTGTAGGCTTGGGAGCTTGAGAGAAGAGTGAAGAGAAATAAGAAAAGGCAAAAGAGGTATTTGCAACTCCATTGGGAAAATGGTATCTAGTGATTCGAATCTTTACTACCAAGGCAAATAGAATCGTTCAATATATCAGCACCCGTGGCCGCAACACATTATACCGTATATACAACTAAGATTTGACTGCAAACGTACAAGTTAAAACACAATTATCCTTAGAAAATGATCATTACATGAAGGGTAAACATATAATTTGGTCTCCGAAAATAGCACATTATTTACCTTTAGTTCCTGAAAGTATTATCGTATACAATTTGGTCCTCAAGTATATATGTAAAGTTGCTCACAATTTGATCCTTCTGTGAATGGCTGTTACAGAGCATGAACAAAAATGTTGACATGTCTCATTAACTACACGTGTTCTGTTCAGTATCACATATTCTATCTACATGGAATTTTTCATGATAGATGGCTGAGCTGTGAAATTCCTTTCCCTCCCTCACTTATAACCTAAACCATTTGTTAATATTCTATTGTGACATCTTAGATTTATGTTTCCCTCAGTTTCTATTTCAATAATGCTCTCATAGCGAAAATTGAGGGTCTTCTTTCGCTGACTCCATCACTAAATCGCCTCTTCACTGCAAATTACTTCTCCAAGGGCTCCTATTCACAGTAAACATGGTGGTGTCATTGGGCTTTCTCCACCATTATTAAATTGGTTACTGGTCCCCTTGGTAAAATAAAAAGTTGTTTAACAACTTATTATAAGTATAGTTTCTCTTCTTCCACGTGATATTTTTGTGCATAATGACACATGGGCAGTAGAGAAAGAAAAAACCTTATGCAAAATGAGAAGGTGAATAAACCATTGTGCAAGATTCCATATCTTATTCTAATAATGGCAGTGACAATTATTAGTTTAGGAGCTACAAGAATAGTTACTACACTTTTAAGAGTTTGTTTTATCAAATATCTTATTGTTATTAGTGTTAATTACTAGAGTATATATAATATATATTTATAAATAAAATAGAGTAAAAAATTATTTGAATTGAACTTTTATTATGTAAAAGAAAAATATAATTTTTTTTAATTATAAGGAGAGACAAATAATACTCTCTGTATTTTTTTCTTTAAGAAATATGCTCTGAAATGGGATGATATGAATTATAAGAATAAACATGTATTTATAGACATCACTTAAACTTTGGTTTATGATGTCCTTATAGTTTTGGAGATTTTTTTTCCTCTTGAATAAGAAACATTCCTTTATTTCTATTATTTTTATTAATTCTTTTTTTTTTTCCTTCTTTGACATTTTCATATGCCACAAAGTGACTTTACGATTCCAACAATCTCCCATTTAAAGTCACTTTTGGCAAGATTATAAATCTTTCTCTTCTTGATAGTTTCATGTTACTTATTTTTCTAATAAGCCATACGAGAATTTACACCATGTAAACTTGTCAGTGTTGATGAGTTTTGTCATGACATCTGCTAGATTCTCTTTAGTATGGATCTTCTACATATCTACGTTTTCTTCTTCTACTACTTCTCAAACAAAATGATATTGAACACCTATGTGTTTTGTCTTGGAATGAAAGGTTGGATTCCTTGTGATATGCAAGGCGCTTTGATTGTCACAATAAATAGGAATCTTTTGTTACTTGTGTTTGAGTTCTTTCATTAACCTTTAAATTCAAATTGCTTCCTTGCATGCTTGCATAGTTGCCATGTATTCAACTTTTGTAGTAAATAGAGCTACAATAGTCTATAACTTTGATAACCAACTTACTGTTCCTCCTGCAAGCGTGAACATATAGCCTATAGTAGGTTTTATTTTATCAAGATCACTTGCAAAATTTAAATCAATGTATCCTCTGACAATAAACTATGATCCTCCAAAACATAATGCAACACTTGAGGTTCCTTTAATGTATCTCAGGATCCTCTTAACAACATTCTAATGCTCCTTGCCAGGGCCATAAAATGATTGACGTTCTCAATTGTTTACGTAATACCTGGTCTAGTACAAATCATTGCATATATTAAGCTTTCATTTGCTAATGCATACGGTATTTGAGACATTTTCATTCTCTCCACTTCATCATTAGGACATATACTTGAAGATAATTTATAATTAATAGGCAGTGGGATAGATATTGGCTTACAGTCTTGTATGTTGAAGTGTCGCAAGACTTTTTATAGATAATTCTAAT